AAATAGATAATCTTTTAGTAAATTATAAATATAACAGCTAGTGTAGAATTTGTAGTTAAACTATTTAAATAAGTAACCAAAAGTTATATATATAGTTAGTTATACACTTATTATATATAAGTTATATATAATATATTAATTAAAACACAAATAAAGATAGTAGCTACTATAATATTAGTCATAGCAAAAGCAAAAAAAAAATTAATTCTGATATATACAATATAACAAATATTAACTTAATTTTTATATATAATTACTAATATCTAAAATCTAAATAAGTTTTAATTATTTTTATTAATTTAAGTTATAGATAAATTCTTCTAAACTTTTATTCTTTTTATAATATTTTAAAAACAAATTTATACTTTACATAAAAAGTTTAATTAAATATTTAATAAAAATAAAAATATAATCTTAGTATTAATATTAAAAAAAAAGATGAATCTAATTATAACAACCTGTTATATGCTTATTTGTAACAACTTAATTAGTATAATCAATAAAAATAACTAAAACTTTGTATAACTCAAACTTTAACTCTAACTACTATTGGCTAATCTGAGATTGTTATATGTAATATGTTGTTACAAATATATTAATTTTTAAAAAAATTTATATTAAAAATGTAATAATTTAATATAATAAATAAATTATTACTTTTTTAAATATTGTTATGAATTAAAATAAGTGTTAGATATTTATTTATAAAAAATTAGAAAATTAAGATAATTTTTTATAAGCATAACAATAGTGATATAGTAAAATAAAAAGTTTTTAATAAAAAGTTTTAGAATTTTATTAATTTTATTTATTAATTTTCTATTTTTTTTCTTTTTTTTCTTTTTTTCTATATTCTTTAACTCTTTTATAATAAAATTACAATTATATAAATCAAGAAGATTTACTAATAACTAATTTGATAATGAAACTTTTAATCATATGATTTTGTGATAAGGTTTAATAATTAAAAAAATTATTTTAGTTTAAAAACTATATATTTCTCTAATATATAGTTATATATAATAAGAAAGTTTTTTATCTTATATTCATCTACTTATGCCACTACTATCATATAACTGTTAAGTCTTATTTTGCTATAACAACATAGTTTAAGTCTTATTTACAATTTTACTTAATCATTTTGATACAATTTATTTAACTATAATTATAGAATTTATTATGCCAATTTTGGAAAGTTACTTTTAACTTGTAACAGTATCAAGTTATAAATTTATAATTTATTAGAAATAAAAATTTAAAAAAAATCTATATTTTAATAATTATTTTTTATTAATTAGTTAAAATAAAATACTTATAACTATAATTATATTAGTATATATGTTATACATAGAAACAGAATTATTGTAGATTTAGAATAAACTTAAGTTAATTCCAAATGCATATAGGTTGTAACAGAATTTCAAAACATGTTTGAGTAGATAAAGAATTCTAATTTAACTTAAACTAAAATTAAGTAAATTTTAAATTAATTTAACAAATAAGTTATTTTAGAATTTGAAGTAGTTTTAAAATAAAAATTAACTAAGACAATACCAAATATATTTTATTGTATTAAGATTGTATAAAGAAAGTGGCAAAAAAAAGTATTGCAAATTTATTGTTTTAAAGCTTACAAGTTTTTACATTTATAGTTACTAGAATGGCAACTACTGCCACAAGGCACATTCATTTTTTTACATTTACAGTAATTTTTTTCACAGAAATTTTTGCAATTGCATTTTATACTGCCTCTTTGTAATGATGATTGTATAATAGATGCTTCTCAAACACCTATAAATGTTGAAGAAATATCTTTCAATTCTGGAAATCTATTAGGACCCAAAGAAAGCAATTCAGTAGCATTATATGCAGTTCTAATAATACCTGATTTGCATTCAACTCTGTATATATCATTCTTTAACACTTCAAGAATCTTATATGAAAGTATTTTTCAATCATTATATGTTTTATCAATATCAAGAATCTTGATATGAATGATATCTCTAATATTATATTTGTTTAAGAATTTTTTATTATGTTTGTCAAGTTGTAACTTCATGTTGGTTTAATATTTTTCAAAAGATTTTCTTGCAATACTTCAATAAATTTCATATGCTGATGTTTGCTAAATATTGTTTTTATATTAAAGAGACAGAAAAAAAATAAAAATTTTGTATTATTCAAATAAATAACTAAAGGATGTTCAAATACCTAAATGTTAGTGTATATAGTATTAATTAAAGTCAAATATTTATATTTTTTAATTGGACAGACTTCAGGATTATTTTCAAATAAATCATTATCAAATGTCCTATCTTCTGATGATTTAAATAATAAATACTTTCTTTAGGTATCTATTTTATAAAATTTATTAAGTGTTATTTTGTATAAGTCAAATTATAAAATTAAATATTTACATCTGTTAACATATTTTCTTTTTCACTTTCTATTTTTTTGCCATATCATCAACTATTATTTTATTTATTATTTCATCTATTACAAATTTATTTATATTTTTGTCTATCTCTTTATTTATCATTTCTTCTATCTCTTCTATAACCTTGTTTACTGTATCATCTACTGTCTTATCTATCTTGTCTACAATCTCTTCTACTACTTTATTTGCAATCTCATCTATCATCTCATTTATTGCTTCATTTACTGTATTATCTATCTCACTATCTACAACATTATCTTTAATTACTTTGATCATTTTATTCAGTCTTCTATTTATTATTTTATCTTTATTAATGTATTCTAATAATTGTTGCTTTTAAATATAATTTATTTTTGAATTAATTAATTAAAATATTAATAAGTATCATAACTAATACTAAAATTGATTAATAAAATTATAATTTAAAAATATAAGCATTGTTAAAAGCTACATATATTGTTACAAGGTTGTAGCCTTCTTGGTACAATACAACCAAGTAACAAGGTTACCTAGTATAGTGATTGACTATTGCAAATATATACAGAATGAAGGTGTAGTAGTTTATTTTACTACACAGCAGTAGGCAAATAGTTTGAAATAGTAACAGTATATAGATTAACTTTTATTAACTAAACACATAGTAACAACCTTGCCTTTAAGAATTACCCTAGAAGAAAAATATCATTTTTACAAATTAGGAGTAAAGGTAGAAGAGTCTAGGTTGAAGTATAGGAACTTAGAATTGGCAGAGAAGAGTAAAAACTACTCTTTATATATCTTTTTATTTAGCAGGAATAGTGGAAATTTGAGCAACATTACTTGATACTGTACTCAGAGTAATGAAGGTTTAAACAACATTAAATATCATTGTACTTAGGATAGTGGAGGTTTGAACAACATTAAATGATACTATGCTTAGGATAGTGGGAACTGTGCAAAGGCAACTGGAGATATTGTTTATATTATTCATTATTTATATTTAAAACACTTGGAGCTTGTGTTTAGACACTTGGATCTGTACAAAGGCACTTGGGATTTGTGCAGAGATACTTGGGTTTATGCAAAAACACTTGGGGTTTGTGTGAAGACACTTAAGGTTCATGTTAGGGATATTTAGAATTCTTGTGCTGTGGTACTTGGCACAATAATTTGGTGCTAGGATACATGAAACTTGTACAAGAGTACTTGGGATTTGTAAAATGATAGTAACATCACAGATGTTACTCAGTATCATGTAGCTGTACTATATTTCTAATAGCTAATTAAGATTCTCTTATCTATCTACTATATAATATAACTATCAACTAACTAATGATTAATAATAAATATAATATAAAATACAATAATGAATATATATATAATTACTAATAATACTATATAATATACTATGCTAAAATCTACTTTGTAATATTTTTTTCACCTTAAGAATTTTGTTTCACAAAATTTCTATGACTTTTGTACCATTCACAAAAGTCAACTAATTGATTAAACTTGGCTTTATTCATATCACTGATATGTTTTAGAGTT